TCTACTCTACTCTACTCTACTCTACTCTACTCTACTCTGCTCTGCTCTGCTCTACTCTACTCTACTCTACTCTACTCTACTCTACTCTACTCTACTCTACTCTACTCTACTCTACTCTACTCTACTCTACTCTACTCTACTCGACTTACTCGACTCGACTCGACTCGACTCGACTCGACTCGACTCGACTCGACTCGACTCGACTCGACTCTACTCTCCTCCTCCTCCTCCTCCTCCTCCTCGTTTTGCCCGTGAAGGTTCAACAGAGGGCACAAAACAAGCATTCAGTCCCTGAGTTCACGAAAGGAAAAAGTCGTGCGCAAGCGGGGGCAAGGAGAGGACTGAGATTCGTTCTCATGGTAGGCGCCTGCTTTCACAGGTCCGTCCGTGACGGGCCTGGTGTGTCCTGTCTTCCTGGCGGCCTGGCCGGCCGCGGCGTCGAGGGCGTACAGGTGCGCGACTCTCTCGGCCGACAACGGCGATGTGTTCGCTACGACCCACAGCCAACAAGAATTCGGTGGTTTGGACCAGTGCGCAATGAGGCGTAGCCGGGTCGAGAACTTTTTTTGGCACGACTGGCGGACCCCACCCGATTCAGCAAACAGCCTGCGATCAGTGCGGGCACCATGCTTGATCCGGGCGTGAGTCAATACAGCATGCTGCGTGGCACATGTCCTGTCACATGCCCAACACTGATGCACTGCAACCGCTTCGTGAGAACATGCAGCTCGCGACGCTTCGCACACAGACCCAAAGAAATTAACAGACGATACAACAGCGTGCCAAACATCAACATACGTGCTCATTGAATCGAACCATACTTCCGGGTGCTCTCGCGGACATGGGAGACGTTCTTTGGCCAACGGTGACAACCGGAAGCACCTGTTGAGTCGTTTCTGACCGCACGCACCCAGGGGAGCATTTCGGACGAGCCGTCGGCCCGCGCGCGATGATGATGCTGATGATGCTGATGATGCTGGGGAGGTGGTGGAGGGTGGAGGAGGATGAGACCGATGGAGGAGGAACAAAAGGTTTGTCTTGTGCACTGCCTGAGCGTCGGGCCCACGCGGACCATGAGTAGGACCTATGCGCACAACGATGGGAAGTGCGACGAAGAATGAGAGGAGGGGTGTGGGGGTGGGAAAGAGAAGGAGGATCAGGAGGAGGTGGATGAGGAGGAGGAGGAGAAGGAGGAGGAGGAGGAGGAGGAGGAGAATAAGGAAACGAGGAGGAGGAGGAGGAGGATGGGAAGATTTAGGAGGAAGAGGAGGCGAACGACGCAGAAGAGGAGGAGGATGAGGCGGAGGAGGAGGATGATGATGAGGAGGATGAGGAGGAGGAGGAGGAGGAGGAAGAGGAGGAGGACGAAGAGGATGAGGAGCATGAGGAGGAGGAGGAGGAGGAGAAGGAGGAGGAGGAGAAGGAGGACGATGAGGCAGAGGCGAAGGAAGCGGAGGCGGAGGCGGAGGTGGAGGCGAAAGTGGAGGAGGAAGAGGAGGCGGAGGTGAAAGAGGAGGCGGAGGCGGAGGAGGAGGAGGAGGAGGAGGAGGAGGAGGGGAAGGAGGAGGATGAGGAAGATGAGGAGGAGGAGGAGGCGGACGAGGTGGATGAGGAGGACGAGGAGGAAGGGGCCGATGATGATGATGATGATGGTGATGATGATGATGATGATGATGATGATGATGATGATGATGATGCGGAGGGGGAGGAGGCGGAGGAGGATGAGAAAGGGGAGTGCGACGAGGAGGCGCAGTCAGTCGTTATGACAGTTAGTAAACATAGTAAGAGGTATGAAACGATGGTGGTGATGACGATGATGATGACGATGACGATGCTGCGGATGATGATGATGATATTGATGATGATTCTGATGACTCTGCTGCTGATGAGGGTGCTGCTGCTGATGATGATGACGATGATGATTATGGTGCTGCTTATGATGCTGCTGCTGATGATGCTGTTGCCGCTGATGCTGTTTTATCTCATGATGCCGATGATATGGCGTCTGATGATGATGATGTTCATGGTGTTAAGGATGATTATGGTGTTAATGATGGTGATGATGCTGGTGATGGTGATGGTGATGATGACGATGATGATGCTGATGATGATGCTGATGATGATGACGATGCTGCCGCTAACGATTATACTGAGGATGATGAGGACGAGGTTGATGATGATGCTGCAGATTCTGATGACGATTATGATAATGATGATGGTGCTGCTGATGATGATGCTGATGATATGGTGATGGTGATGGTGATGGTGATGGTGATGGTGATTACGCCGATGATGATGAGGCTGATGACGATGATGCTTATGATGATGTTACTGCTGCTGACGATGATGCTGATGTTGATGCTGATGATGATGGTGATTCAGATGATGCCGATGATGCCGATGACGATGA